AGCTGTCTAAAGTAGATCTCTGTGGTTAATGGATTTTTTTTTTTTGGACTGGCTAAATGCAGGACCCCTAAAGGGCATAAACTGAGATCAATACTACAGATTTATTCTTGTCCTGCTGACTGGGATCTTACTGATGAAGACACCCTGTCCAAGAACCAAGGTTGGGGGTGAATTGTGGAAAAGAGAGTTAACATAGCCTGTCCAAGGCTGCTACACACAGAAAAACCTGCTTGCAATTTGTATTCTTGGTCTGGGGATTTGTTGGGTATCCAATTTCCTGCCCTAATTGTAAACTTTCCTAGTTGATACACACACTTGCTATGCCTAAATATTTTGTAAAAACAGTATGGTTTGTGCTGAGTTACCTGCTTTTCTTCTGGGAGTGTGAAATTTTGTATGTGCTGGGAAGACGGTGCATATGTGATTAACCCCTAGTGAAAACCTTGGGAAATCAGTATGTTATGTACTTCCACTAGACAACACTTCACAGGAGTTGTCACAACTCATTGTTGGAGGAATTGTGTATAGTACGATACCACTCAAAGAGGAATCTGATCTTTACCCAATGAGCCCTTCTCCTCTGCTGATTTTGCTTTGTATCCTTTCACTAAAATAAAACTTAGCAATTAGTCTATAACATGCCAAGTCCTGTGATTAGTAGTGATCTTTGAATTTAGGGATGGTCTCAGGCACTCACATAACAATGGCTGTTTAAAAGGATTTATTATTGGGGGGGGCTGGGGTTGTGGCTCAGCAGTAGAGTGCTTGCTTAGCACATGCGAGGCACTGGGTTCAATCCTCAGCACCACATACAAATAAATAAGTAAAATAAAGGTATTGTGTCCAACTACAAATAATTTTTTAAAAAAGGATTTATTATTGGATTTTTATTTGCATTAGGCAATTCAGGTGAGTGCGTAAGCAAGCTAAGCACAAGCGCATAGTCTATATGATTATAGAGCAAACTATAATCAGTAATGTAGAAGCAGTTACTCCTACTGGCCAAGATAAGGGAGTGTTTTGCTCATTTTTGTGCTTTGAACACTGTCCATCACACAACCATCCTACAGAGGTTTTTTTTTATTATTTTTTTATCTTGATCCATCATTGTCAGTGGCTTTTTCTTATATTGGTGTTGTTAGATTGTTTATGTAAGGCAGAAGAGTACTGTGAGTAGTAGATTACCTGCCTGTTCTCTTTCTCAAGACTATTATCATTCACCAAATTTTGAGAAGTTTTCCTGGATGAGTTTTGTAAATTTAACTAGTCTTTATAAAGCATGAGGAGGGACTTGGGAAATTTGTGATTTATTCCCAACATTATATGACTCAGGGCTTCATTTTCTGATGAAGAAGCTGAATGGGGAAAATATGTGGTGAGGATTTCATAATAAGTCATGGACTCATAATAAATCTCTCAGGTTCCAAATAAAAAGGCATTTATAAAACACATTTTGAAAAAGATTGGGAATACTTGTTGGATTTAAGCAATTTCTTTTTTTTAAGCAGGAATACAAAGTTTTATTTACAATAATTTTATAGTTTTTATCTTTACTAAACAAATTAAAGTTGTATATATTTATCACATACATCAAGGGAATTTTTTAATAGTTGTAGGTGGACAGCATGCTTTTTTGTTGTTTAGTTTTTTATGGGTGCTAAGGATCAAATGCAGTGCCTCACACATGCTAAGCAAGTGCTCTGCCACGGAGCTACAGCCCCATATGTTTTGAAAACATATATATTGTGTAGAATGAATAGAACTAGTTAACGTATGTAATACCTCACATATTTATCTTTTTTTTTGTGGTGAGAACACTTAAAGTCTGAAAATAAGGTATTTCTCTACCTATAAACTCATATATAAGTCATTTGTTTTCCAAAAGTTTATTTTGAGTTCATATACAGCAAAGCCATGAAGGAGAGGGAATTTATAATGTGAAAAAATAACTAAAGTTATATATAGGATTTAATTTTTGTTATTTAGTCCTATGTGGTTAATAATAACGACAACATGTAAACATAAACTATGTAAGATGTAGGAATGGTGTGATTTCGTCTATGGAAAAAAAAATGTCTGTGCATTTATTTTGGGGAGGTTCATAGAGATGGTGTTTTTGATGGCAAAGTGGTATGAGTATATTGGGGATTTAAAAGCCCAGCAAAACCCCTTGACCATTATGTATAAAGAATTTAAATCCAGACCCACATTAATTTGTTATTTTCTTCATTCTACTATAAATATATTCCAAGGGGGACGCATTTCTTTTCTTTCTTTCTTTCTTTTTTTTTTGTATTAGCTATGCTGTCTTTAGAAGATAGCCCAATCGATTCATTGGAGATTTTGTTTTTCTTCAAGCCCACACATTGTTCCCTAAACTTAATATCTTAAACCTAGACCATAGTATTTAAGTTGCCCTTTTTTTGGTAAGGTATATTTCCATATACCACCTACTGAAGGATGTTTCTGAAATCAATCATTCAATCAATCAATCAAATTGACCAGCAAGTGTATATTTGATATTACTGTCACTGTTCTTAGTGTGAATTAGAGTGTTGGTCTGGTTTTCTGTTTTTATTCCATCATTTTAGAATTAGAATTATTATAGTGTTATATAGGACTTCCATTTTCAGCTAATTAGAGTTCTATAAGAGAGCAAAGATAAAGAATTTTCATAGTTAAATGAAGGATGAACTAGATAAAACAAGCTGCACTATACAAAACAAATCTTTTGCAAAGTAGGAGTTAGCAGTAGTTACTGAATTATTACTGTATGCCAATCAAAGCTTCCTAAAACATTCTGGAATTATAATGTGTGTAAATCACATTTTCTTTAATGATAATATATAAAAAGCAACCCAAATGAAAGTTTAAACAGAAGGAGTTTAGTAGTGTTACTTGTGTTCTACTATTGTACTTGGGTATCATGAGGATTTGTATTAAACTTCTTGATCCTCTGAAAATTAGTTTTGTTTCTCAAAGTACATGAAAAAACAAAGAGTAATTTTAAAGACAATTATATGATTATAAAAGAAAATATAAATGCATATTTTCCTCTCCTGATGGTTAATAAATCTTTTATCTATTTATCTGGTCTATCTTATTGGTTCTATTTCTCTGGAGAACCCTGACTAATACAGTAACATATTTCTAGGTTGATAAGAGTTCCAAAAATTTTAGCCTGCTGTTATTTAGAAAATAAATTATGGAATTAAAGTGTTTTGAAATGCCTGGAGCATGCAAGGCATATATTTAAAGAAAACATATAAATGGGGCAGAAGACACTAAAAGTAGTGAATTAGTGTTTCCCATGACCAAATCCATATTTGAGTTGGGCTCCTTCTGAAGGGAGGTGGGTTATTTTCTGTTGAAAAGGCTGGGACTCCATTCTTTTCTCCTCATCATTTGCAAAACTAATAGGTCAGAAATACTGACAAGCATACAAAAGAAAAAATTTAAATTATCCCAAATTCTGCATCTCCAGATATAGCATTCTGATACTTGTTAAAACAGCACAGAAGTCTTAATTCAGCACTACTGCAGCAAGTGTCAAGATTATTGAGGTGGTGAGAGAAATTATTGTTTAATTTCATGAACATAAGAACAAGATTTATAGCCAAAGTTGCTGGTTGATAAGGGTGAATCCTAGTATATGTTGATTACTTCTCCTTAACAATGTTTAATTTCATGTACTGTTAAAGATGTTTTCCTTGTGACTATAAGGAGAAATTTACAATTTTGAAGTCATGTAAATGAATGTATTCTTCATTTGATTTCATATGTTATTTACTAAACAATTTTAATTACTTAAATACCAATAGATAATCTTTTAAATCATAATTTTGAAGAGTGCAATGTGTTTTAATTGAACATGTGCAAGCACACACAGAGAGTAGTTGATTATTGATATGATAGTTTTTTGAGGAAAACAACTTTTTTCATATTCTATTTAAGCAATACCTACCAACTTTATGACTCCCTAACATGGACCATTTACCCTAGTGGGAATAATCTCATTCTTGTCCTCTTTTTCTTCTACAAATCTCATTTCTTCTCCTCTTCCTCCTTCTCATCAAGATTGTTTAATGAAAATCTGGATGTACAGAAAATGGCATAAGGCAACATCTCAAATATAAAACCACCAATCACCTTAGAAACCCATCACCTAAAAGGGAGGCTGTGAGATAAAGTGAGGAGAAACACTAAAACAATACTGTAATTATACTTTTCTAAAACTAAAACACATTCACACATATCTAAATATGTGTGAATAAATACACTGACATCCTAACTATTACAACACTAATGAATAAACTGTTAAATCAGAAATAAATCTTCTTTAACAATTAAAATCTTTGTTATACCTGATCTGTATTGATGTATCACACCCTCCCCCGCCCCCAAAAAGCCACCCTGTTTTCTTTACCTTAGGGAATTTGTAATGGGATATTTTCCATGTTATGTCATCTTCTGAACACATGATCATGTGTTTAACCTTTTCTCTAGTGCTGGGTCATTAAATATTTACAATCTATTCAGAATTTCAAGGCAAATGTTTTGATTTTCCTTAACATCACATTGGAGCATCCTTTTATTTTGACTCCAAAATAACCATCATGGACAAAACATAATTGGCAATTCAGCAGTAATACTCTGGGATGTTGATAACCCAGAGTTAAAGTATTAACTAGTCATATATACATTCGACTGTGGGCACCAGTCACCATAGGTCTTCTCTTTCTTCCATCCTCATTCCATCTCACCCACTCCTCTCCAGGAAATAATATTAGTTTGGCTCAAATCTAAAAAGAATGCACACCTTCAAAGAAATTTTGAAAAATCAAAATTCGAAAATTAAAAATCCCTGGGGAATCACATCACCTAAAGATTTCCACTCTTAATATTTTGGTGTTTCTCTCCCTTCTCTTTGTTCATGTATTTGAACAGAAGACTTTTGAGTCACCTTTCTGGTCTCCTTTTTTGTTGGTTAATTTTCTCAGGCTTTCTTGAAACTACTGTTCAGTTTCAACCAGCTCCTCCCCTCCCGAATTTTCTTCAGTAAATCCCCCTCCCGTCTTGGAGCTGCTACCTCTGGGAAGGTGGGTGGCGCTAGAGATGTGCTGGATCTAGTCACTAATTGGAAGAGACCTTGTCAATCACCGTCATTCAGCAAATAGGGTGAGCTGTGAAGCCAAAAGAGGAGTTCAGAGGGTTTTCTGTGCCGCACCTCCTCTTTTTGCCACGGCAGCTAGTGGAAAAGGTCTTCAGTGGGCTGTTTCTGCCTTAGCCCTACGCCTGCTTTCTTATAGCGCCCGCCTCGTCCTCCGTGGCGTGCTCCACCTTACGCCAGCTTCTCCAGCAGCCGTTGCCTCTTCCGCCTCTGTGTTGGCCCCCGCTGGTGCCTACGGACCAGGCTAAGCCGTCTTCTTCACTTTGGTGAGTCTTTTCCCGTCGAAAAGCTGAAGATGGAAGGGCTCGGAGAACAAGGCGCAGCCGGTGCAGTGGGTCCATTACTGGGCGCTGTGGCAGCATCAGCCTCTCCGCAGCTTTTGCCGGGGTACTCCTTAGACGCGGACTTTATTGAGAGTCTGCCTCTGGCAGTTAAGTGCCGAGTGTACGCTCTCAAAAAGCTTCAGGCTAAATCCGCCGGCCTGGAGGCAAAGTACCTCAAGGAATTTCATTCCATCGAGAGGAAATTTGCCAAGATCTATGGGCCTTTACTGGAAAAGAGACGTCAGATCATCAATGCATTGTATGAGCCCACGAAAGAGGAATGTGAGGTGAAATCCACGGTTGCAGACTGTAACTATAAGGTGGCAGAGAACTCTGAGGCTCAGGTGTATGGTCCAGAAGAGAATTCGGAGTATGAAGACTTGGAGGAGTATTGTGAGGAGGGTTTTGAGGACGTTGAGGAGGTATTTGGGGAGTATGGAGGAGGAGAGGGACATAATATGGACGAAGAGAAAGAAGATCCTAAAGGGATCCCTGATTTCTGGCTCACGGTTTTAAAGAATGTACAGGAGATCACTCCCCTGATTCAGAAATATGATGAGCCTATTCTGAAGCTCTTGCAAGACGTGAAAGTCAAGTATTCAAAACCTGATGAGCCTCTCACCTTCACGCTGGAATTTCACTTTGAACCCAATGACTACTTTACGAATGAGGTGCTAACCAAAACATACATGCTCAAGTCTAAGCTTGATTACTCAGATCCCCACCCCTTTAGGGGTTCTGCGGTGGAGCATTGCATTGGCTGCAAAATAGACTGGAAGGAGGGAAAGAATGTCACTGTGCAAAGGGTCCTGAAGAAGCAGAGGCACAGGTTTTGGGGACTGATGCGTACCACGACCCAGGTATTTCCCCGAGAATCCTTCTTCAATTTCTTCAATGCTCTCCAATGGGGCCTAGATGCTGATGAGGATGAGGAAGATGTTTTCATTGCTCACACTTTGCGCACCTTTGTCATCCCAAGAGCTGTGTTATACTTCACAGGAGAAGCTCTTGAGGCTGAGCAAGAAGGGATGTTCAGAGAATGTAACAACCTGACTTCTGACAGAATCACACAGGAGATCCAGGTGGCTGCAGTTGATGGTGCAAAAGTCCAAGACCTGGTCTCCCAGGCAGAAGACATTGATCGCTGAAGTAGAATGGTTGGAATTTGTGAGCCCTCTGTTTAATAACTGGCAGTTAAAATAACCAACACTTAATCATAAATCACCTGCAATCTTAGTGTCTGTATCTCTTCTTGGTACTTTCATATAAAATAATGTTTATATATATTTAGCAATGCATTTCACCTAACACTACAGTGGTTTAAACTTTGTCAAGAAATGTAGAAGGAGGTGAGCTCTCTAAGCATGTGAATAACTTACTATTGTAAATTCATGGCTTTTGTCAGGTTACTATTAGTCTCCAGCTATGGAAAATTACCAGAATTTGTAGCAGATTTATATGTTTGGTTTTTCCTCTCCTTTGAATCAATAAAACCTGATAGCCTCCTTTCCCCAAGCCCTCTCAAGAGGCTTTAATCTGTTGTGCTAGCTGTGCCTTCATCTTTTTGTTATAGATATGTAGCAAGTAATACTAACTAAATTACACTTGATTTCTAATTTGAGAAATTGCTAGTATAAGAATAATTTGCAGCAAGTCCACATTTAAACTGTCACTTTGTTTATAGGCTCCTGTGTTTATGTGATATAGTTATCTGCTCAAAACCTAGTTTTATTATTGCTTAATAATAAATTAAATGCATTATGCTTAAAACCATTTCTCCTAAGGCCTGCCATAAATTGTACCATGTACTTCTTCTAGATGGGTTAAAGTATGCATTTTCATTTCTGGATTGTTTTCATCTTTCTCGTAAATGGATTACCTTACATTGTTAGTTAAGCTTTATTGCCTCGTGTTTGCTCATTCCAGAATAAAATTATTATAAATGTTAAGCACTGTGTTTCTAAGGATTTTGGAGTGACAATGCCAAATGAAGGATTTGGTTGGGAGGTTTCAGTAAGTCAGACTTATCTATGGGACATAACAAGCACTGTGCCTACAGTCTAATTTATTTTTCACAGCCTACAAAATATTTTAATTTTTTTTAATTATAAGAAAAATGAAGTGGAGCATGGTGTTGCATGCCTGTGATCCCAGCAGCTCAGGAGGCTGAGACAGGAGAATCATGAGTTCAAAGTCAACCTCAGCATGGGTGAGGCACTAAGCAACTCAGTGAGACCCTGACTCTAGATAAAATACAAAATAGGGCTGGGGATGTGGCTCAGTGGTCTAGTGCCCCTGAGTTCAATCCCTGGTACAAAAAACAAGGAAAAGAAAAAAATGAATATAATAGTACATAATAATAATCTAGCTTGGATCATATATGTCTTATACCAACACAGATATAAATATTATTTATGTATTTCTATATAAATATCATCATGGAAAGGGTCCAGACAAGCATAACTGGCTGAATTCCATGAAAATCTTGGGTTCCAGCTTAAAAAAGAGGGGGAAAATGGAGAACATGGAATGGTTGACAGGGATGATGATGTGACAAAGGAGGGGGGGGAAGGAGAAAAGAAAAAAAAACAAGCAGAGTAGGGGTCCTTGGGAGAAAGAAATATGTGGATCTTGGAGAGGTCAGGAAGGCCTGACAGACCAGAGGGAAGAGGGTTGACAGGGTGGGGCCAGATCTGCATTGGGCCCTGGCCAGCGATAAATTGGAGGGGCTTTTGCAAAGGAAAAAGAAAGGAATAAAAATAGAGGAGGCAGAAACGGAATTGAGGAGGTAGGAGAAGTCTGGAGAGCAGAGAAGCAGGGTATGAAAGGGTGAACCTTATGAGAGATAGGAGAGCATTCCTTAGTTTGAGGTTATAGAAATCTGGCTTTGTGATTTTGATACCTTTGCAGAAACATCAGTACTTTGTTTCAGAAAAGGGGTCCAAGCCAAAGGGGAACTAGAAGAGTCTTGGCCTATTATATCCAAACTTTAGTCATGTTTGCATTGCCAAAGTACATGTACACATGAATTAATTGTTATTTTATTCAATGAACACTTTATATTGCATTGTTTATATGTGCCAGACATTGTTCAGAGCACTTTATAAGTATTAACATCTGTAATATCTGTTTTATAAATGAAAAAATGGTAGTTGTCCCCTTTTTTATAAAAGTAATAAATGCAAGAGTGGAAGCTATAGCTGGAAAGAATTAGTGCCAATGAATAGGCCACTCTTAACCTCACTTTAACTAATGAGCATATAATTTTGTATCCTGCTTATAAATAAACTTATAATCATAGCATTAGTATTTTTCCTGTATTAATATATTTTGAAATCATGATTATTAACAATCATGTAGTATTGTATGTACATGGGAACATAATCTTACCATTATTTTAATGTTGGTCATTGCTTTCTGATTTACATAATGCAGTTTAGCAAATGTTCTGCTTTTTTTAAAAGATGGACACAACATCTTTATTTATTTTATGTATTTATTTTTTTATGTGGTGCTGAGGGTCGAACCCAATACCTCACAAGTGCGAGGCAAGCACTTTACTGCTGAGCTATAACCCCAGCCCCGAATGTTCTGCTTTTTAATATCAAGACTTTTCATTTCAGTTCCCTTTTTAAGCTTTAAATTCCAATACATTTGTAAGCTCTACAAAGTGCTAAATGGCAAGTGAGATATAGGATTCAAATCATTGATGAGCTGGGGATTCAACAAGAAATACAATTACTAGAAAATATATAACTTGATCATTCCCATATGTAGGTACAAACCTTGGCAATACTATTTGCCTACTCAACATGTACTCCTTTGCCTTCTCACAGCACAAAAAATGTGTGAATAATACGATTTTGAGAAATATGACACATCATGTTTTTCACACATTTTCCATACAATATGTAAGAACTTGAGAAGCAGAGTTCTCTTGAGCCTTTGTAGGAGAAACAAACTTTAGACTATCAAGAAATGAATGGAGGATCCAGGGCAAAAGTGCCAATGGTAAGCATGAAATCAATTGAACTATAAGACTAAGACCAGAATAATGTAACAAAAATAAAACACACCTAGACAATAACTTGCTATACTAACACTACCAATATAGATGCAACTAGCAAAAGTTGGATCTGCAAGGGATTTATTTTCTAGCTGGGGATAAAAAAAAATCTGATAAGTAATAGACACATAAATATATAATTATAAATGTTTCGAGGAAAAATATAATAAATGAAAATTAGTGTTTTCCCCTATTATTTCTTATGGCATATCAAGATAGTAGATATTTTATAAGGAAATCACTAAGCATTAAATAAAATTGTAGTTGGGAATGTAATAACTAGAAAAACAGACAAGCTTTCCAAATTATAAGAAGAAAGATTCAAGCCAGGCACAGTAGCACATGCCTGTAATCCCAGCAGTTTGGGAAGCTGAGACAGGAAGACTCCAAGTTCTAGGCCAGACTCAGCAATTTATCGAAGTCCTAACAAAATTAGGGAGACTCTGTCTTAAAATAAAAAATAAAAAGTGCTAGGAGATTTAGGAAAAAGTGCTTCTGGGTTCAATCCCCAGAATCCCCTCCCCAATAATATAAAATAAATATAGTTTTAAAAAGTCAGGTGTGGTGATACATACCATTACACCCAGCAACTGTGGAGGCTGAGGTCATAGGATTGCAAGTTCAAAGCCATCCTTGGCAATTTAGTGAGGCCAGCCTCAGCAACTTAGGGAGACCCTGTGTGGAAAAAAAAAAAAAAAGAATAAAAAACGGCTAGGTATGTGGCTTAGTGGTTAAATGCCCTGGGATTCAATCCACAGTACAAAAACAAAAAAGATTCAAAACTAAACTAAGAAAATATAGACTATTTAGTAAATAAAGAGAAAAAAAGAGAAGCACAAAGCCTAACAGGTAATTTATTTCACTCCTCTTTCCCTAGCAGAATTCAATGAGTTTTGTAGTGAGGAATAAATGAAATAAAATGTGACATTTGACTTTACCCTGTGTCCATGAAACTCCTCCTTAGATATCCTCATGGATATCTCACCTCTTTCAAATCTTTGCTCAAATGTCACTGTCTCAATGATACTTACCCCATCATTGTTTTAAGTTATATGTGTCTCACACACATAATTTCCCCTTACCCAGCTTGGATTTCCTTCATAGAAAAAGTATCACCTTTTAACTCACTATGCAATTTGCTTATTTGTTGTTCATCAGGTTGCTTGTCCTCCCACATTAAATTTAAGTTCTGTGAGAAAAAAGATCTTTGTTTATTGTTGTGCATTGATCTTTGATCCTAGTTTATTGATGCAGCCCAAGCACCTGTGTTTGGTATAGAATAGCAATAAATTTGTTGAATAATCAATATCTGTCTCAGTAAGTGCAAATGAGATAATTTATCTAAAACGAAAATAGGGCTAAACCCGATATTATGCTATCATTTTTTTAAATCAGAAAAGAATATAAAGAAATCTGGTCATGTATCAATCATGTATTTATCATGTACTCTTAGACATTAGTAATGGTGACACACTAGTAATAATTGTTGCCTCTGTGGAAGGGAATGAAAAGATAAGGGTAGGAGGGAGACATTCTTTGTGGTTTTCTTCCTTTTGAATTTATGTAATTGTCACAGGCATGAAAAACTAGGCTCCTATGAAAGTTTTGGAAAAATTGCTTTATTAGAATTAGATTATTTATCTGAAATATTGGGAGAACTTCTTCTCTGGTTGCTCTATTAATACTTTTTGCTTTTGATTACTACTTGCTTCTAAGAGACAAATGAAAAATAGGGCACATTAACATGAAAAGAGACTGGAGCCTGAGGTGGCAGAAATGTTTGAGGAAATTTTAAAAACAGGAATGTTTAATATTCAATTATGTTTTTATTGTTGTAGGGTACATTTATCTCTCATCTTTTGCAAAATATGTTTTATATATGAAGAACTTTCTATATGTTCTGGGGCCATCAAGTATGGGATAGCAAAAGTGTGTACCAACTTAACATATTCAGCAAATCTGTAGCTAGGAGCCAGAAGAATGGAATGTCAAAAGCTATTATCCTTTGCAATTGACTATCTTTAAATATTGGTTGGTCTAGTTTGAATCTGTAATTCTCAGAAGAGTGTCTATGTGTATATT